ACACCTTGCCTTGAAAACTGCAAGGACTCGTCCAAGCAGTCACTGCAGGGTCAGCAATGACTGAGCGCAGACAAAAAAAAAAAGAATGCATTTGTGTATGCATTTATGCATATATAATTATTTTTCATTTTTAAAATCTTTTTTAATGATATTTTAAATTATTTCCATGAGTGTGAAAACAAATTGATTAATATAGGCACAAGAATGAGAGGCTAGTTTATAAACTATTGTAATTTTCCATATATTACACTTTATGATTTTTTTCAGATTTTTAATTCTTATTTTTCATCAAAGGATTGTATGCTTTTTTTTGAATCCTTTCTATAGATTGTATCCTTTTTAATGGGTTGTCTCCTATTTACATCCATTGCACCAATTCCATAGCTTTGATTATCTACATTGTACCAAGGTCCCTGAAAGTAGGGTAATGGAAGGCTGTTTTTTGACTCCAAAATATTGGGTGGGCGTCTCACAGAATCTTATAGGGAAAAGAGGTTAGTTTTCTCATTAGTCTCTAGCACTTACTAGTGATTTTGAGCCAAGATTGGGTCCTAGTCCAATGTATTTCATTGGATTGTGAGGATATCAACAGGGAGAACCCCTTGGAGCTTGAACTTCCACAGGAAAATCCAGATATAAATCCAATAATAAGTTTTGATATTGAAGCTATTTTAAATGATCATTGTAGATATCCATAAATTAATACTGATTTGTAGAATATTTTAAAATCAGTTTACTTCCTTGTGTGTTCATTCTGAGACTACTTAATGAAGGTTCATTAGGGCTGATCAGTGGAATGATTCTTTCGCCACTGAAAAAAGTAGCAAAAAAAAAAAACTTTGGATGGCAGGGACCTTACTGCAACTGGACATAAGGGTTCATGGAAGTCATGGGTGTTTGTACAGTGTTTTTAATGTCATTTTGGGTAGAAAGAATGCTTGTTAATTCCCAAATCTTGATTCATTAGTCATTAATGCAGGATCATTAAGGTGATTGGAGGTTTTTAGTGCATATTTCTATCCACCAGATAACCAATATTTTCCTAAAGGATTATAAAATTATTTCAACATTTAAAAAATAATTTTAAAAAGTTTCACAAAGATAAAGCAATGTGCAATTGATAAATAATACAGACAACATATTAAATCTGCTGTTCCAGATGAGAATGTGCTCTCAAAATCAAGATTAATATAAAACCTTAGAAAATCACATAGAAGAAATAAATCATACCAGAAGTCCCTATTATTATCTATTTGGAACCGGTGTATAAGTTATGTCCAGAAACAATGAACCCCAAAATCATCTAGCTTAAGCTTCCTCAGTTTCTTTCATTTCTGTCTTCTAGGTAGTATTCTCTCAGCTTATCCTATCTGGATCAGTTTCGTGGTATTGGCTCCAGTGATTGTGTTTGGATGCACCCAATGCAATAAGAAACATAAAGGTATAGTACATGCATGAAATTACCTCCTTCAAATTAATGTTTAAGGAGACAATTTAATTTCCATAATTTTTTAAAAAAGAAGTATTGTTTAGAATTTCCAAAACATTAACAGTCATACATACTTATATTCCACTTTTAAAGGACAAGCCGTACAGAGGTTTTAGAGAACAAATCGTGTTATCTCAGATTTTTTGAAGATTTTCTTTTGCTCGAGGAGCACCAGGAATCTCTTCTCTTCCATGTCATGAATGATAAAAGCTTCGTTGTTTACCTGAAGGCTTCAAAGCATGTCTGTGGGGAACATAAAAATCAGGAAAAAGCATATTGTAGATGGTGAGATTGCTGTGCTACATAAACCTTCATGTGCAAAGAGCATTAGATGTCCTCTAAGAAACTGCTAAAACAAGTTCAGAGCTGGTAGTGTGAACTATTGGTGACCAATTAGGTAAGGAAAAAAAAAACCTCAAGCAAAGGGATTAAGTTCATCCTTTCAGGAAGGAACCTTCAAACTGGAAACAATAAAGTCTACAATGATCCATATGAAACCTCTCAGGTTTTACCCCGTTAAAGAAATCTACTTCTGACAAGAAATATTAACAGTGTCCTTTAAAAAAAAAATCAAAATTTGAATATATTTCATCAAAAAATATTTATCTGGGATTTTCTTTTATGGAAATAGAAATTATATGCCATCTCCTCATATGTTATTACTACCTCTGAAAAGTTGGTTGAATTTTGCCACATTGAAAATTGAGAACAATCTGTTCCTTTTGAGCAATAATCAATGGGAGAAAAGGAAATTTAGAATTGCAACTTTAGGTTTACACATGGGGCCCCAATGAAATTGAGAAGCCTCTAAATCAGTTAAACAGGAAACAAGCTGTGTTTGGAATTGCAG